ACATATATCATCGGCGAAGTCCAGATCCTCCAAGTTGTTTTGTGTGAGTCCATTTTATGCCTGTTTCCTCATTGCCCGCTGTTTGTCGCATTATCCAATCTACTGCAATCAGGAAAATCATTGGCGATAGTAGGCAGCCAGCTTGTCTTACTCCTGTCCTCACTTCGAAGGATTCCGTGAGCTTCCCGTTGTGGATTACTTGACATGCAGCATTGTCGTACAGCTGTTGGATGAGATGTATAATTGTCGGTGGCACCCCATAGTAGCGAAGTAGTTGCCAAAGCACCTCTCGATCGACGGATGGATAACAGAACCAAGTAAAGGATGCCTCCATTTAATGTTGAATGTGTAACAAAATTTTTCCTGTAGTATCAAACATAAATACTGTTAGAGTAAAGATATTCATTAGCATACAACCACAGTAGGCATATGAGTTTTGCATCAAAGTTTCAGGGAATTATTCAAGCTTTTTGTTAACTACATAACATTTTTCAGTTGAGCATTATAAAAAAATCCTCCCGTTGTATTCAAGCCAACCTCCTAAGATTTTTACTGAAATTGTGCTAAATAATTGTGTGTGAAGTTGTGACAGTGAGTGTTAGTTCTACAGGAAGACATTTCAGCAATGAATAACACGGATTCCAAGTCACCTAGGTGATATTAGCTTTTTTTATATATATATATATAACTTCAAATACAATCAGCACAAAAAGATTTACTCCTTTGGTAGATTATTCAACTAATAACTTCTGTTTTTCTTATCTTGAATAATAATAATAATAACCAGCTTTTAGCTAATTAATAATTTGAAATTAGAATAATTTTTACCGTAAAGAATGTTATTTATAAAATGATATTATAATTCTGAAACAAGTCGTTCACAGTCTAGTCTTCGTGTATATAGTATATATATATATATATAAATCTTTTTTTCACTTGGCATAGTTGTTCAGTTTTACTACATACTTAGATTTTTACTAAAATATTTGAGTTGAAGAGGCTATTGCGCTATAAACAGCTCATTATAAATTAATTAAGTATACATCTGTGGGTTTATATGTGTATATATAAACATTCTTGTGTTCATATGGATCAATGTCTGTAAATCTCACCACTCTACCTCTGCTAAGATTTATAATCAGCAAAAACCCACACACACACACTCACACACACAAAAGATTGTGAATTATTTTTGTAGACTATCCGACCTTTTTTTATTTTACCATACCATTGATGTTTTTAATTAGAATAGCGCTGTCTACTTTTGCGCTAAGCATTCCTTTCATGATTTAGCGGAGTTGGTGGTTTGTTCAGCATGTGACACTATACTTAAATTGCCCGCGAAGTTCAAATCTTCTCGAGTCTTCTTATCGGTCCAATGTATTCCTGTTTTTACACTCCTCATAGTCTGTCGTATGATTCAGTCCATCACAATTAGGAATATCATCGGTGATAGTAAGCACTTCAAGAGATTCGGCGAGTTTTCTGTTGTGGATCACTTAACACACGGCATTGTCATATAGCCAGCTGTTGAATGAGGTTGATAATGATTTGGGGCACTGTACTCCATATTGTTGAAGTAGTTTCCAAATTACTTAGCGGTAACTCTGTCGACAGCCTTTTCAAAGTCGATCAAGTTGAGGTAGAGAGAGGTTTCACTGCCATTATATGCTTTGTTCGATGACGGTGCGTAGATTTGCAATTTGATCAGCACATAATTCGCCTTTCCTCAATCCAGCTTGTTCCGGGGGTGGGCGAAGTTCTGCATCTCCTGGATCTTTTAGTATCTCCAGGATGACGTGACTTCGTATTTGACTTAGCGTGGACAAGAGAATGTTTCCGCGCTAGTTCTTGCAGAGGCTTGAGTCACTCTTCTTTGGCAGCTTGGCAAGGTAGCCTTTCTTCCAATCAGTAGACAACTTTCCTTCCTTCCAAACTGTTTGCAGTAATGGCGCCAGCATATCCGCTGCACTCTCTGGGTCTGTTTTCAGTGCTTCCTAGGGAATTCCCTCTGGTCCTGCTGTCTTCCCGGAATTCAGTACCTTGACTGCATTCACGATTTCTGCTTCTTTTTGGAAGATTGATGTCCATTGACTGTTCTGTGGCTGGTGGTGTTTTCTCTGAACGAGTTGCAGATGACGGTCGATTCCAGATTACTTTGAAGTGATTGACCCATTGTTTCCTTCGTTTCTAGTCTTTGATAATTAGGTTCGACCAACCATCTTTAATAGGTTTCATCTGTGTTGATTTCTTCCCGGATAGAGATCTCGTTATCTGATATAATGCTTGGTCTCTTTTGCCTGCATCCTGTTGTGCTTCAGTCGCCAGTATTTCGTGGGTTTGTCTTTTATCTTTCTTCGCAACCTTCTTCAATTTTTGATTCAGTGCGATGTACATTGAACTTAGCCTCCTCTTCTGTTGTCCATCTTTGCATTGGTTCATCTTCTATTTCTCTATCTGCCGGTCGGTCGGTCGGATTGCACTTCTCTATCTGCCACTCTTCTATTGGCCTCCACGTGTCCTTAGAGCCACTTATTTTCCTACCTCTTCTTCCTTCTTAAAACGGCTGTACATGTTTTCTTAAACATCACTTTCAGAGAGTTCCAATGTTCTCCCAGACAGGCTTCTTCAGTGATGCTACATATTGCCTCTAAATCTCCTCCGACAGCTCCAGTGAAGGTGTCCTCTGTAGTTTCGTCCATCAGTTTCTGTGTGTTGAACTTGAATTGTGGTCTGCCTCAATTTGTTTTGAAGTCTTTTGGCTTCACCATGAACGTCTCGTGCACTAGATAATAGTCTCAGAGCACATCTGCTCCCCTTCTTCACTTATTGACCAGCAGACTGAGTCTCCATTTCCTTGGACAACACTAAATTTAAGTCTATCTGATTTTTGGTGTGTCCGTTAGCTGATATTGACAGTTATTTCAAAATGCACTCGAGTACAGGATAATAATAATAATAATGTCTTTATTCTGAAACAAAATACGTTTATAAATAATACAGAAGTGCAAGGTATTTACCCCTTGTGTAAAATCTCCAAATAATGTAATAATCGATAATGTATATCTGAAGCTTTACTGTTCCATCTGAAGTACGCCTCAATGCCACTCCATAATGTTTTTCCTTGATTTCCTTCGAAAAATCCCTATCGGTAGGTAGGGAGTTGTTTGAAATTGTGCTCGAGTATAGATTGCGACTCATTGTGGTAATTAGAAGGTTAAAACAATTTGAAATGGCGTAAAAACGATGCATTTTGATGGATAGAAAATTTATGTAGCCCCGTGATTTAAGCAAGCCGCTTCATCCACTTAAAAGCATAACTGAATGAATATGAAATGGAATAAACTTGATTCATTAAAGCATGGCGAAAAAATGTTAATTCAGTAGTTTAAATCAGGGTTATATTATAGTCTAGTTATTTAGCGTATTGGCTAACAGTATTCTTTGAAAAATCTCTTACCACGTTTTACAACACTACCTGGTGTCTGAAAAACTTGAAGATTTACAAGCGAAAACCAACAAAAAACAGGAAGCATCAACTACCATAAACGGGAGAAATTTGAAGAAAGTCACTTGTTTCACTTATCTGGGCAACATAGTTTTAACTACAGGATGTCAAAGCTAGCCAGGGTCGGACAAGCAAGACAAATGCGTGTTCATCACTCTGAAACCAACGTGGAGATCAACAGCATTCAGAAAAACAAGCAAGCTCCGAATTTTCAACAATAGCAGGGGTTCAGAGAGTTGGTGTGCACATCACTGGAAGTATTTCCAAAAGACTACAGAATTTAGTTAACAGCTGCCTTTACTTCATACTGAAGATCAGATGGCCAGAAAGCATTAGCACCAAGGAACTCTGACAACGAACCAACCGAAACCTGTTGCTCAACAAATATGTAGAAGAAAATGGAGGTGGATTGAACATACAACAAGGAGGCCTTCAAGTAACATCACATTTCAGGCCTTCGAATGCGAAGCGACGAGTTATGTGTCTGAGATTGGCATGGAGATCATGGGAAAAGGAAATGAGAGTATGTAAGCAGTCATGAAGCTAGCTTGAAAAGATGTCGGAGAACAGAATACAATGAATATGTGCTGCCAATGTCCTATGTTTCATTTGGGACCCAGTGGACAAATAATAATAGTATTATACTATATGTAATATGCGACTTCCCCCATTTTCGTATTAGGCAGTCATGTTTTATTATGCTACCTAACCTTTCCTTATCCTTGAGTAATGTTTTCTTTGGATGGAGGATTTCATCATGAGCTGACATCAGTTAGAGAACCACTGGAAAACCTAGGAGTACTGGACAGCTGTTTCGTCCTAGTTTGGGACTTTTCATCAGTGCGCATCCACCGGAGTTCTTCACATAGTAAACTTCCATACTTCATTAAATGTTGTTCTGATATGTCTACTCTTATTATCATACTTTTAAAGCTATCTGAAACAAAGTTAGTTTGAATGAAAGTTCCCTTTACCATAACTGTTTTATTATTTTACTTACTGAACAGTTTGTGTAATAATAATAATAATACCTATTTTCACATTCTCAACATTACGGTGTCAATAAGACTGGTGACAGTCTGTTGAATGCAGTTCATGAGTGTTTTGAAAAATAAATCGCAGATGTTTTACGTTATATGATAGTAAAATCACACTAAACGTCTGAGTGTAGGTGGTTCAGTCGTAGAATGCTCACTAACCATCAAGTGGTTCAGGTTTAGATCCTCGGCTGACACAGTCCTTAACCTATCTAGGCCGTGAAGAGGAGAGACTGGGCATGAGGCTAGTAAACCTGACCCGTAAAAAAACACCCTTCCTAATGAAACCTGAAAGTTCAACCTTGAGCCCGTATGTTCCACTCCTAACGCAAATGACTGACAAAAATACTCTGAGTGAGTAAATTCAATTAACTTACTATTAATTAATGCGACGTAAGTGACGCATAAGAATTTCCAATTTTAATGAACTTTATATTTCTTTATTCATTCTAAAGTTTTCAGAAGACAGTCAATCAACCAATGAATTAGAAAACAAAAAAGTTGGAAAAACTGATAAACCCAGTGTTCAATCGTCTAGTCGTGCATCATCAATTTCCGTTTCAAATTCATATAACACAACACCAGATGCAAGTCTGCAGAATATTTCACCAGTTTATGTAAATTCGGTTAAACAGGAACGAGTCAATAGTGTTCTATCAAGTCAAAGTACAAATATCCCACGAGGAAGTAATAGTCCCAATTCATATGACAGTCGGTACTCAGTTGATTCTAAGAAAAATTTAGACCTAATCGAACCGAGGCCAAGTAGTGTATATAAAGGTCGTGGACGGAAACAAGTGTTAACTTCACTGGATTTCAAAGCACGTGCAAAAATCTTTAATGATTTGTAAAAACGGAATTGGTCCCTATCTTTTGTTTTTCTTTTTCTCAACGAATACAATAAGCTGACCAATACAAGAGCTCATCTATGAATACTATCACCATTTGATAAAAAAGAGAGTATAAATCAGAGGCTTTAAATGGCAATATCAAGCTCTTCTTATTTATTTTCCACGTTCTACTTTTTTCTCCTACTCACCTGATTGATATGAATAATATTACGATTATTTTGTATATTTTAACAAATAAGCAATAATATATACATAATTTTTGTCATAATGTGTGTTATGAATGATGTTCCAGTTGGTTTCTTTGAAGGGTTCGATCACTGACACTTTGTCAGAATTAAAGTTAAACTGATGAAGTACACTAGTAAAACATTTAAATGACGACCCCATTACAAATCGCAAAAAAATTAATCTACCTTACTCAGCATTATTTAACTATAATGTTTCTAGCGATTGTTTCATCGTAAGGAATCATACTCTGGAATAGTATTCAACTTTTGTTCTTACTGTGAAACCAGTCTACTAAAATAACAGTTCTAAGGACTTCTCAGAGGCCATTTAGTTTACTGATAAAGGTGTTGAGTTTGAGTGAGCGGAACGATACTGAAATGCAGTAGGTAACTTGAGTGAATAAACACTCCGACTGAGCCTTCGATTGCACTCTGTCAGTCACGGAAATATCAGAAGACAAGACTGGCCTGTGTCTGCAAGATGAAAATACACCGGTTACCAATACAGATGAAATTGAGCATCTCATTGGTTAAATAAACTAATCTGATCGGTTGTATAAAGTTAGACATCTAATTATATGAGGTCAGAGATTATCCAATAAAATTATCATATCTACAATTGAAATACAAAATCTCCTACCTCAGCAACCAATTACTTAAACTATTCATCATGGTTCTATCAGAAACAGCCTCACTAATGACACTAGATTATGTCAGCACTACACTTCAAGTTGAAGAATATTATGTTTCAACTCTGTATTCTGAAAGCAAGGGGTTTTAAGTACGGAATTCTGGGAAATTACAAAGTCGGGTTAAACTGCTGTCCTTAATTTCTAGTTGGTTAATTGGTAACGAAAACTATCCTGAAGGTAATCATTGGAATAAAAGTTGATTTTCATTTATTTTTCAAAAGAATGAACACTGAACAAAGAATACTATTTTCGATAACTTCATCATCAGGCTCTACAGTTATATATACATTATAGTGAATGAATGCATTACTGTTATGAACAACATTAATGTTGTTTTAGTAACATCGAATCAATAATATCAATAGATTACAGTTCAATAGCATCAACATAACAATAAACTGAATGTCAGAAAAATTCATGAATTTATAGTCTCCACTGAAGGCCGGCCAGGGCAGTAGTAGGGGCTGGTGGACTTGTTTCTTTTGCACACAGAGCACTGGTTGTTTGAGGCGAATTGCAATAGCCTCTGCTGTTTGGAGCATGCGGTGCTTCGACGATTTTGGTAATTTGTTAGGCACCCGGTAGATTGTAGAGAAGGATTCTTCCACGCTGGCTTTGTCGCCGGTTTGCACCAGATGGTCCAATATCGAACTGTTAATGGTTTTCACTACACCTTTACTTAGCCATAGTGGGAGATGTTCTCGAGCACAAAAAATTAGGTTCCTAGAGCAACGGCCGAGAAAATCTCCCACCATGGCTAAGTAGTGAAAACCACTGCAATTCGCCTCAAACAACCAGTGCTCTGTGTGCAAAAGAAACAAGTCCAACCAGCCACTACTACTGCCCTGGCCTGCCTTCAGTAGAGACTATAAACTCATGAATTTGTAATATTATCTTTCCTAATATTTCTGATATTCAGTGTATTATTATGTTGATGCTATTGAACTGTAATCCATTGATGTTACTGATTCGATGTTATTTAAACAACATTAATGTTGTTCATAACACTAATTCATTCATTCACTATAATGTAACTGTAGAGCCTGATGAAGAGCAGGTTATCGAGAAGAGTATTCTTTCTTCAGTATCCATTCTTTTGAAAATTTATTTTTCAGTTTGTGAAACACTTGATAAACGCACCTGACGAAACATAATTACTTATAGTTAAGTGAAAAAGAGATACAGGCTCCCACCAAACATAAACTTATTAAAAAATTTATGCAGACCTTGTAGAACCTATCTCACGTCTAAGCCTTAAACTCGTATTCTTAAAAAGTTGAAATGATGCATGCGTGAAGCAACAAAATTGTACTCTTTTCTTCAATATTTATCTAGAATTTTCAGTAAAGCAGTTAACCCTATAGAGGATGTGTTAGGTTTACTTTCTCTAAAGCATTTACACAAGTAATAATCATATGCGGAAATTTCTTTTGAGCAGTTTTACGACTGTAGCAGTCATTGTGCAGAGTGTGGTCAGCGAAGAAACAACCACGGTTTATACATCGCCTGGATGGTAATTAGTTCATGTTTGAATAACCTATAGATTACTACATTAGTGGTACTCACAGGAGTGTCTGAATGGCAGTATATTAGTAAACATCATACGAGACTGACAAAAACTGTTAGGATCTATTAATTACAAACACTTGCCAGTTTGTAACAATCCATATTGCTGACTTCTAATGTTTTCGTAATCCGTGTTAATTAATTCCATTTGAAAAATATAATTGCTGTAAAATTAACTTGTTGAATAATTGCAGAACATTCACTGTGTCAGCCATAATTAATGATTTAAATATTTTTATACGGAAAACCCCGTATTCCCAAAAGATTTTAAATGGAGTCATTTTCAGAGTGAGGTCATTTTTAACGGATGGTGTCTGACTCTAGAATTCAGAAGGAGCGTTCCATTCTTTTTCGAAATTAATTAGGTAGTATCTGCATCACAGTAATGTTGTTCACCTACAGATTCCAACCCTGTGTCCATCATTTTAATCTGTAAAAAAGTCATTTAAGAAAGGTTTTGGTAGTTTCGGTTAGATGACCAGATGTCAATCGTAAACAAAAACAACACATGTCACATCTTTGCGCCAATATGAATATTAGATCTACAGAACTCCAATAATAACTTGAACAGCCTTTACTGACTTAATAATGCATTATTTCTCTGGGACCATTAATATTATTCGTCGCATTGGTGAAAAGTGATGCAAAAACTGTTTGTTATTACATTAAAAATCTCACAGAACCAAAACAACATTAATAGGTTAAAAATAGATTTTTGACTAAGATTCACCATGTGATATAATTATTCAATTACAGTTTCGCAGAAAGTGAAGCAAAATTCAGGCTAAATATGTACATATAAAACTTCAAAGAAGATTGTAGTTTTGTAATCATCACAAAGAATGCATCAGGTTGAATTACATCAAAAAAGTATATTGAAACAGACTGTCGTGTTTTAATTATCATTTCGTAGTGTTACATTTAAGCTCACAAGTATGTGGCTTAGTAATTTTACCTATGGGAATATACAATAAGAATATGACTTTTAAGTGATTTATAAAGATTGCTTTACAAGATAACATTTTTGTAACCTAAACAAAATCATCAGTTTCAGATTTGAGATTAAGGCTAACCAGCGAATAGATTATGATTTTTTTTATCAGAATAAAAATGTTACTTTCTATGAGTTAAGCCAAAAACTTTTAAAATAAGTACTGAAAAATGCATCCCTACTAAATAATAACTCATGGAATAAGTTTAAGTGTGGTGTGCGTGTAAGAGACGAAGATTATACAGTTTCCAGCCTAATCCTTGATTTACAGTAGAAAAGAGATAATTACTTAGAATTCACATTCATCAGAGTCCCATGAATACGTTTCAATTGATCCTTCGGGAAAGTCGACTTCTTTATCATAAATAAAATCTGGTTCTGTTGGCAAAACCCGGTTTTGTTGAAATAATTCATCCATAACAGCTTTCTTCCTGTAAAAGAGTAATAACAATGAAACCAGCATTTTAATTTAAATGCATAGGATTTAATCCATGATGGTATTAAACTTTGCTTGATAAAATATTTATCTCACAAACAAAAAATATTGACTGAGAAAAATAAACAGAATCGGCTGGGCTTTCTGTCATATAAAAAGTCCCGATCATCACGGGGCCTGGCATCATAACACTGTGATCTAACTTGGCAAATCTCATAATTGTATAGAACGTAGATGGCAATAAGACAATGAAAGGGAAATTGTGTGATGAAATATCTCAGAATACTATTAGGTGAAGAAAGAATAGATATTGACCAATAGTTACTTTTATAAAAATTCGAAGATTTAAGCTGTCTAAATACCTGGTGATAGTGATACAGCAGACTAGAAATTGTTCAAAAGCTAAACTTACTAATTCTAATGAAGTGAAACAAATCTAAATTTAAAATTAAAAGAAGGGGAATACGGTCATTTTTATGTCACTGGCGTGTACACGTAGATACCCGGAAAATAGCTTTAGAAGCAGCCAAGAGCTCAGGCTTAAAATCAAGATACCAAACCATGCTATGAATGTAGTTATGCCTATTATCGTAGATATGCTGATGACACAGAAGCAGAGGATAGGTAACTTAAATGCATAAATAAGATGGTAAATGCAATGCCATTAACTTATGGGGTACAGAGTTAAAAAGGAGAGCTCCCAATGTAGGATTTCACGATTTAAAGAGACAATGGGGTATTTGACACAAATCTTTCTAGAAAATCCACAAATTTGACCTTGCATTTGAAATTTAAGTTACCTATTCTATGTCACTAAATGTGGCATTACTGAAATGATAAAGTAATAAGGTAAAACAACTAGTTACTAGATGAGGAAATAAACTACAGGGAAAAACATATGGAAAAGGCCTAGACACCCAATATCTACTCCGATAGAATTATCTAGAAGTATCTAGGTACATGAAAATAATTGTTTATTGTGCAGGAAGCAAGACACCAAGGTGATACATACCTTCAAAATTTAGACTGCAAAACCTTCTTAAATACTAAGCTACAAATTAAGAATGGATGGATCCATCCATTCCCAATTTGTGGCTGTAAATGTTAAATTTCACAAATCTTTCGTAAATTTGGGTGAAAATGCAAGACGTCAATTGGCTTTTAGAAACCGTGGGACAAAATGTGGTTTGCACTCCACCCTATAGGTGGAAGAATGCCCGGTGTTTTGTGAACTTATATGAGAAACTTGGTAGCCGAAAACATGAGATAAATGAGAAACTGACTCATTAGAAAGATAGGATGTAAAAGCAAGAAAAATTCTAAAAGTGGAATATTGCAGTGCATTCCATCCACGTCTGACATGTTCGAAATCACCCACAAATCTCACATTTTTCATACGCATTCTCCGAATGGAAGTATCATTACACATACGTGTAAATCACTTAATGCAGGCAATTCACTGTCACTTATTTAGATCCATATCATTATGTTACTGTGGTGGTTCTGAATCATGGACCAACTAAGATAAATCTTAATCTAATTCAAAATAGCTAAAATCAGCACCAGGTCTGACCTTGTATACTTGCTTAGTCAAAATAAACCCAGGTGTCGACTTTTTCAATTATCTACTTCATTCTGATTACCACAAAACACCGAAGTACTTTACTGATCAATAACAAGTTAATCCTGAAATCCTGTGACATACCGTTCTAAAATATCATCGTCAACACAGTTGAGGTTTTCATCACCTCTGATGGAATCCACTTCTTTGCTTCTTTTGAGAGCTTCTGTGAGGTTCATACCATTGCATAAGTCTTTTAGTATAGATAACAATCTAAACAACTGAGCTTTTGGGATAAGACTTATGAACTGATTGTGATTTTCGTCTGCTTGAAGTTCAGTCCATGTTTCCATGACTGTAGACGTGGCTAACATTGGGAGATGAATTTTTCGCCTCCTCGTTTTAAGACCTTTACCATACACTATAACTAGAGACTTCTGAGAGGCACTGATACCACATCGTTTTATTGTAACACCAAAATTCATTTTGAAAACCCACGGAGGCAGTATCTTAGATTAAGAAATTTAAAACAAATAATCATATACGCTAACTATATTTATTCAAATTTGACAATTATTAGAAAAATTACGACGGGATGGCCTAAAGTCGTTGAAAAAGGAATTCAGTTTTTTACTTAAATTGCCTGTGTTTATTTCATTAATGCATCCAGCCGGCAATAATCTGATACTTTCCAAAGCATTTCACAGACTGCTGTATATTCATTTAGTTTCGGCCCTTAGGGGGGTTTTGAAAATGATAAGTGTACTGTTTCCGGTTGATCAATGCACTAATATTTTGTCAGGAGCTATTTCTAAGCAAGAAATTAACCCTCTGATTCAGATTCAGATTATAGGGATAGAAGGTTCTTGTTGCCTGTGTTAATCTTTGCGATATATATCTCTGCAGAGATCCAGTTTCTCTTTGAAAGCGTTCACCTATGGAGCTGTTACTAGTGTATCAGGTAAGGAGTTCCAGTCGTTGACCACTCTGTGAGAGAATCTAAATTCCACATGTATTTTATTCGACCTCGGTTTGGGCACCTTTCTTGTGGTAACCTCAAAAATGGATCCAAGAGAGAGAGAAAAGTTTAGGAAAATCAATCCCTGAATCACCCTTCAATATACGGTTAGCCAAAATTAATTCGCATCTCCTTTTTCAGTATGATAATGGGAAGAGATTTAAATGCTCCTATCATAAGGAAGGTGTGAGATTCCACTAACTAATTTGGTTCCCATTCGAAAAGCCTTAGCTGCGCCTCGATTACAATTTAACGTTGTTTTTAAGTCATGGCTTACAAAAAATCATGAAACCCAAAGGATATCTCACGCTGTATGCTGAATAATGGCTGGTTTCACTATTTTCTTATTGAAAGGACACCGACGAACGAATACGTTTGGGCTTGGTTAATCATGCAAAGTTAGAAGACACTTTATATTCAGTGCAGCAGAAAACTATGTGTGATATTTTACCAGGTAGCAGCAATCAAATAATTTTAAAACCAAATGTATCATGTGTATTATTCTCGCAGTTATGTCAGATAAAGTTCAAGATGAACCACAGTGTTACCTATGTTTCTTCTTGTAGCTGTCGTCTTCAAGTATTTCCAAAATATTATCCAATATGTCTAATAAGAAAAAATTTTGTCATCCATTTCCTTTTGTGAGAGACCAGCTGAATTTCTGGCACCTACGGGACATGTGCATGGTGCCCTTACTACTGTTGTGGGAGTAAATAATTCCTTGAGATTATTAGCCTACAGTCTTCATTCTCATTCAGCATCAGGTGCTAAATCTCACTTCATAATTCAACCAGCTATATTGAAGTTACGCCATGAATAACTCATGGTGTTTGCAAGCTATCATATTCAGTTTTGTTGTCCGTGATGGATTTCTAGTTAGTTAAGCATGCACCACTGACCAACACCACGAATCCCCAAATATATTTCTCATTTTGGATGGTTTATTTTGTTGTACCAACTGTTATTTGATGCACAACGAATAAGTACACTTAAAGTTTAGTGCATATAAAGTGCGCGAAATTGTTTTATCTACCATCCGTACTCATTAACATAATTTCATCCCCCAAACAATTATATCGATATCATATACGTTTCATACTATAAGTAAATGTAAAGCAGGTGAAGCACAGTATAGGTTGCAAGAGTATTCCATTTGAAAATAGATGATTCGTAGACTAGGTCACACTTTTCAGTACTTTTTGTATCCTACTAATAATTTGTTCAAAAAGTGACAGCTTGTGATTAAATTCGCTCATGGTCTTGCTGGTAGATTTGCAAGAATTTGCTTCTCAGATATGTTACATGAAATACATCAATTTGCACAACAGTCCTATATTTGTAGTGGGAATATTACACTGCTCCTCTCATAGTTCTACACCTCAGTTGTTTTGCGGAGAGACTAGTAGTGGCAGCTCAATGCTTCACTAACTGGAGAGAGTCTTCACCCTCCTAAGTGTAGAATGCAAACTTCATTTGACTGTTTACAGTACACTAGATCCTAACCCTAACCTGAACCATAGGGGACTTACCCGACATAACAGCATAGATTTTCAGAAATAAGTAATTAGATTAGAGGCAGGACATTATACCTACATTCAACAATTTCATTTGGAATGTCTATCGCTCGTTTTCCCAAATCAGTTTGGTTCTTGAAGAATAACTTTTCAGAGACCTTGACTTCACCTGTTGTAGCTTAACATCACTCAAAATGACTACCACAATTCCTGCAGTTCCTAATTGATTTCATTTTTAAGTTCCGGTAAGTGCCTGGTGTGGAAATCACATCCTAATTCGGTCTCGAGACAGTGTACTGTCGGCAAGACAACTCTTTACTCAAATACAAACGCTAGCGGTTGACTAACTTTTCACACCATAGGACGCACCGTAAACTCCAAAGAATCTATCATGACTTTTTCGCTGGAATATAGTGACTAGTGAACTGTATTTTGATTAACTGCAACATATTAATTAACAATAAATTCTACCTCGTGACCAGTTTCTGTCTCTTTGATCTTTGCATCGACTCCTGGTGGTATAACAGACTCTTTGAGTTCCCTCTGTACAGAGATATTCCATCCACCGACTCCTATTTATTCTGCTGAAAGAGTTACATGGAAGGCTGAATCATAATTGACACACCCTATCGTTAGATTAAAGTCTGCCTTCTTTACACGGGGATTTTTCTTTGGAGCATCACCCAGTTTAAGCAGGAATATGAAACCAAGAATTTCAAGTATTATGTATGTCAAACCAGTCTTCCGCAATAATCAAAGCAGAATGTGTAACTGGAATAATCAGTGGATTGCACCAGTTTGATGGGAGTATCTTATATTCTCAGTTAGCGTAGTCAGCCTTTATATAACTCTGCAGAGCTTGAGGTTTGAAAAGATGGCCAACTGATGAAGTTGTGGTGCTGCATCGGTTGTGATAACTAGACCATGTGTTGCGCTCGAGAGGACATTTTCCCCTTAGTCGTGAAATATATGCGACATGATAGTGTGTTGGAAAAGTTTAGGGGCACTCAAATAGGGCATAGCACCAGTATGTGAAATATTCGGTTCCTTTTTCAACTGTGAAGCCTCGTGCAGACTGTTTGTTTGGAGTTGTTGAGAACGCAGGAATGAATGACTGAAAACTGTTGGTGACATGTATCGAAATCGTTCTTGATGACGGATAGGCTTTCACTCATTGCGATTTTCCGGATGCATTGAAATCCTCATTATTATTCACTTAATTCTTCTTACACCCCTCATTTTATTTTGCTGTAGTTTCTTAGCAGTTCTTTCTCCTCCATCATAAGGTGTACCTATCTGAATTGTGGCTACTTAGAATGTTGCGCTTTTGCACGAATTTTTAGATTAAAAATTCAATATAAAATTTGGATTAAAGTGAGATATAAAACACTGCTTAGCAAAGGATTAGTGATGATGGTCCTGGCTGAGTGAAGATTCGAGCACATAATTCCATGTACATGGATTTAGCTTGAAGTTTTGAATCGTCAACGTTTCGACATTGTCCTGGTTTAAATTCCCTTTGAGAATGTCGATAGCACTATGTGTACAATTATGAAGAGATTATCGAAATGATGTTTGTAGCAGATTTACAAGGTGGTCGAGTATCTATGCATTATGTTTGTAAGATAAAGCAAGGTATGGCCGAGTTACTGAGCTCCACAACACCACGGAAACTGGTATATGTGTGTTGAAGTGGTCCAGTAAGCCAGTATTTCCTTCCGCTAAGCAAAAAAGCGGTTAATAAATAGATTCATGTAATTTTCACTTCAATAGGATGGTATCGGAGGTGGAGCAGCCCCAATTAATTTCTATGAATTACATGCCTGTAAGTGGACAACTATAATTCTCCTTATTATTTTTATTTGTAGCACTTCATTTAAGGTTTAGAGGTTGTGATCGTCTCACTTTATATCTTGTACCAGCGTATGTAGAGCATGGGCGACAATGGGACACACTGTATCTTATAATGAAATGAATATACAGTGCTTTTTAGGAGTGACTATAAATCGAGTATTGAATGATGTTTTCACTACTCAGGACATATCAACTTTGATTTTATATGAGTTTCCCGTTTTCTCGCGTGAATGCGCGGATATTTACCGTATCTCTCGTTACACAATCCAGCGAGAGATGTGCATATACTCAAGATCCTTCTGAGGAGTTCATTAATAGTATTTATCAGTGAAAGCAATCTCGGATACAAGATGTCAAAGCGCAACGATTTCTAGGTTTAAAGATGTTCATCGGTCAAATTATGGTTCGTTTTGAAAAATTCATTGGATAAAGTAATGTCACTGTTATCATCAGCATTTCTATTATTGCAAAATACCTGACTAAAAAGGTCAGAAATCTTCCTGAGAGTATTAGAGCTTCACATGGTGGAAGAAAAAGTATCCTTATTAGTTTTAGTTCTATTCACTTATATATGAAGATAAACTTTTAGGACGCCCCCAGTTATCGCGATTAGGCTGCTTCCGAAACATTTCAGTGGACTGTGCATTAGCAAAGCTTTTCCCAGGGGAAGCAAATGTGGGAGTTATAATGAAAGTAGGAGAATTATGGACAGTCGATTTTGAAGTTGGATTTCATCGAGTGATTAACACTCGGAAGTGACTATTGGAAGAACTAACTTCTGGTTCATTAAGGAAAAACAGAGGTAAATGGAAGCTACCATCAGCAGTCATTACTGAATTAGAAACCGAAACACTAAATCTTATAGACCAATCTCCAGTTGAAAATATACGAGGATGTATTATCATTTGAAATCCTAATTGTAATTTAGCAAGGTATTTTCTGGTGATATCTCACTCGAAGAGTTCGATGCATGTTTATTTTTGATTGAAACCAAATTTGATGTTAGATGAAGTAAAGTACTCAACATATCAAGGTCATTTGGTGTGGCAGTTTGAACAGTCGCAGAATGCTGTGTTTTTGATTTGGATTTTATCAATAAATTAGTGGGATTGAAAAATGTTTTCTATTAATCTGGTTGTGAAATTCCCAACATCAGGAAATTGTTATTCACTAAAATTTACTAAGGATATAACTGTTTATGACTTGTGTCATGAAATTCATTCCAAAATTAGAGAAGCTGCTTCTCTTAATCGTATGTTACTCTGTTTAATCAGCCTAACACCTATATTAGCTTCAGAAAATGGAATCTTCGTACCGGATCCAGACCCAAAGCATTCCTTTTGGCTAGACAACTCACGAATGCTGTCTTATTACCACTTTTGTGATAATGTAATTTTATGTATAGTTCTTTTTATTTCTCCGTGCAGTTTGAAGTCCAGTATAGGTCTAAACTTCGTCTTCTTGTTATACAAACTATGGATGAGACAAGGAAGACTTTGCAAGTAGATGATAGTAAGACAGTTGCCGAGCTTATGTTCACAATTTGCTCCAAAATGGGTATGTTAATCATTTCCACTTCTTAAATGTTTTGTTTTAATGTACCGGGAAAGTTTCATTTGTGGGCATAAACTTTTTATCTCATTTTTACGGCGCACCTCAATTATTTTTATTCAACGCATTTTGTTTCTAGTGTCCACTTGTTCTTTATAACTTTGTGAACTTGGTATAAATTTTTTCCAGATATAGTACATGCACGAAAATGTTTGTTTTATGTGTGTTTAGGCATTAGTATAGACTTCGTAATGGTTTAAGACTAGTGAATCTCGTCGTCCCATTGTAGACTTTCCATATTCTCGCTTTCAGCTTAAACGTTGTGATTGTGGTCTTTATATCCTGCTTTCGTTCGTTAATTACATTTGATATGAGTTTGAATGTTTCTACAAAAGCGTAAACTTGCTTTTTGTTGGTAAAATTTAATAAGATTCACCGGGTCTCACTTTTTATTCCTTCAGTATTATTTTTATAAATGGCAGATATTATTCCTAATGCAACGTTTATTTTAATATAGACTCAATGAATATCATTCTTACCGAGGTGGTGCTATTCTTCTTGACTGTTCGTCACTGGCAGTGATTTAAATTAATATATTTCTGATATCTTTGGGTATTTTTGTTAGTGTTCTAAGTCGGATGGTGAATTAATTTGAAAATTCTGCTTAAAAATAATCAGGAAATATAATTACCATTGTACTGTAATGATGATGATATTGTATTGTCACAGGTCAAGATAACGTTTGCGACTCACTCATTGAGCCAGCTGAAATTTCCGCTTCTTTTCTGTCAGATACTTAAGATGGTCAAAATGTATCTGAAAAATGCTTAAATATCCTTGATTCTTATAATATTATTACAAGTAAAAGAATGCAGACGAGATGTCGCTTATTTGCTGAAGACTAACACTTTTAAGGCACTAGTCAGGTCTTTGTTTAAAATATATCTTAGGAATATTTATTTTGGAGTAGTAGTTGAGGGAAGTTGTACGTTGACTTTTTATTTAAAACAGACGTGAATTTTCGATATAAGAATAGAACTTGTGCACTGTGGTAGAGTATAATTCCATTATGGGTAAAATTTATTTTGATAAAGTCTCACAGTGTTATACAGTAATATTTACTGATGACCACGTTTCGAGCACAATTTATTGCTCATAATCATATCAAGGTACTCACACAACTTTCTAACTTCGTTTATATAATTCCATTATTTTTCATCGCTTGACTTGATTGGTAGTAGTATTTTCCGTATTTGCGGTATGAGTGATGAGTCATTCCCATTGCATGTGTTGGGTGTAGACTCGACGTGAATTTTATTTATGAAGAATTCGAGATATCTGATTAGTAAAATTAACTACACATCATTCATATCATCTTTGTTGTACGTGTTAATCTTTAGGTATTACAAATTATGAAGAATACTCACTAATAAGACCATGTGATGAGGATGAAAAGTTGCGTACACTTACGTTGAGAAAAGGCAGGGGTAGCATCAGGAATCTGGAGAAGCTAGAAAAAATGAAGCAAAAGTTACACACAGATAATGAATGTGAGTTATATTTCAAAATTCAGTTCTTTAGGTTTTTTTCCTAACCTTCGTTTTAATCTGTTTAACTTAGTGGTAATTTCAGTTGCATATTCTATATTCTTTCCTACATTGTGCGGTATTATTATATTGTTTGCTTGGTGAGATGCTGTCTGGTTGATAGGATGGCTTTAGGGTGCCAACAACTGCCATAGTATGTTCAGTGGTTGTAGGCACATAAATAAACCGTACAGGTAGTTTCTTTCAGGTACCAAAATAGGGAACATAGCACATAGATCTCCATAATAAGTCAAACTAAGGTGTACGACTGCAATGATGGACAGTAGAAAGAGGAATCAAATCAGTGTCCTTTGACCCTACGTATTTCTGTCTATTGCTTTGCAGTTTTAGATTATGAAAAAAATACGCCTGGTTGTGGTCTTGTTGTGAATTCCTTGTATTATAAGAGTAACAAGGTGAAACTTTAAATAGTGAAAGGAGACAATCGAGTCATGTATTCCTTTACTATTTCAACTGCCCACTCCTTTTACACATCGTCGTTTACGATCTCACTTCTTGCTTATCGTTATTAAATTTTCATCTCATTTTATGTGGAGCACGAGTTGATCAGCCATTCTTCTAAGTCCTTTTTCAAATAATGCAGCTGGTCTATAGGCTAATTTAGTGATCTTGTAAGTTGTAAATTAAGCTTGTTTTCCAAAAGACTAAGTGTTGCCTCAAGTCGTCACGTTGCATTGTAGAATAATTTTCATTTATGATATTTATGTGTTTTCAGAAGTTTCCAAATAATGTGTGTAGCCTTTGAATTCTTGTATTGGCTTCAGGGTCTGAAGTCAAGAGTTGAGAAAATAAAATGAATCATTTAATGTTGAATTGTGTGTCCTTGCTTAAACTTTGTTTCGATTGGGACTCAAAACTGTCTATTTAAAGTAAAGGACTTCAAGACTTGTTTTTAAATTATGAAAATGGTTCTTGGTGATTTTGATATGATATTTTTTGTTTCAGTTAACTGGTTAGCCCCTGGTAAAACTCTTCGTCAGCATGGAGTTGAAGAATCTGAAATTCTGCTTCTTCGTAGAAAGTATTTTTTCTCTGATCAAAATGTGGATACACGAGATCCTGTACAATTGAGCCTCCTATATGTACAAGTAAGTTGACTATAGTATTTGCTTTTACTATGAGAATTATTTGAAGGCATGTAATTGTCCCTCATAAAGTAAGATATTATTAGCATTTTTCTGCGCGATTACATAAATTAACGCTAGTCTGTAAATGTCTTAATGAGTAGTCTTCTAAGATAGATTGCAGTCAGCCAATAAATTTGTAAAATAACATCCAATATCTGTGGGTTTCGTGTGGCTATGATTTTTCTGCACAGGTTCAATAGGGTTTGATCTGGGGTTATGTTCTGTGATTTTGAAAATGTAAGGCTAACGAGTAATCACTATTATTTTTAAGCGTTTTCATTACATTTAAAGTTATACATACTTGTTAATTTGTATTTTTATAAATTATCAACATAGAAATTGTGGTTAGTATAGAATATAAAGCGTCGGTGGCACAGCGGCAGAATGCTCGCGGACCACAAATGTGGTTCGGCGTTCGATCCCCGGCCGACTCACTCCTTTACCTCACTAAGCCAGTAGTAAGACCGGTAAATAGGGAAGGTTGGGCATGAGGCTAGCAACCTCAACCCGTAAAAATAAATACCACTGCTACGGAAACTTCAAACCGCTAGCTTGAAGTCCTGTGTTTCACTGGGAACGTAAAGGAATAAAGAAAAATAGAATATAAAAACATTTAGCTATTCAACGGTTTAGTATCGATTGATTTTTAAGTAATGCATAAGCTACGCGACTACCACGTCCTCCATAGCTGTATTAAGTGATGACACCTTGTCGGATATTTTACGTTAAATCCACTGATTATGAGAAAAGGTAATGAAACCTAGTTGAAACCTGTTGACCAATAACCGAGGGTAAGCAACATAGATTTTTCCGCTTTACATCACTGAAAAACAGTTTCTATCGATTATGTAGAATGAAAGATTTGGAGCTTTTTTAAATTTATCTCCTTCTTTCATACTGAGATTATTTTTGATTGTTTCTCTTATCAAAGTGTTGCCAACTTTGATGGACTTTAGCCTACTGGCATCTTGAGTTTACTGTGTAGTTTTTGATTTAACCTTTAATATTATTCCTGAAACTAATATAGGGGACTCTATTGGCTTTGACTAAAGTACATTTATAGCACATAAAAGCTAATTTACATACTTTATAGTAGTTTAGTGTCCAATGTGACTTGTAGTTAAATGCAGTTTAAGAAAGGTAACTTAGTGGATGCAACTGACAGTTCGTTGACTGCTGATGACAATTAAGTGATTTTATTGGTGGAAGCCATATTGAATTTTGAGTGTTTGTACTTGAAAACGTTACAACTAGCTAGCGTTTCAAGTAGTTGGTGTTTAACGGTTTAATGTACCTATGTCAGTTAATCTACTCTTTAATTAAAAGTTAAAATTCTTCATTTCAAACACAGATAGCTTACTCAACTCCACTTTTTCAGTAGATCAGATTAAAAATATACGTCATGCTGCTTATATAATTAGTTGAAACCACTTTAAAATCTAGAAGTTTTGCTATAAGCCTAGTTAGGCATCATAATTTTGGCCAAGTTAAACTTTAAGCACCAGTGGAGTGCGACCGCACCAATGACCTTGAAACTCTCAGTAGGCGAGTTAGGGATACCTGGTAAATAGTATTGTAATCATGAATAAAATATGCTTAATGAGATGCGTTATTAAGTGGGATATCTGGCAAGTTTCAGGTTAGGTTTGGGAAAGATTAAGTTTTAGGTTTAGGCTAAGAACGAGTTAGGTTTAGGTTAACCTAACGAGGGCGACATTAGCGTTGGTTTCGGGATATTTTCACGTTAGGGTTAGGTTAAGGAAAGATTAGGGTTGTTGTTAGCGTTAGAAGACTGGATAATTATATGCACAGAGTGTGGTTAAATTACTGTGTTGACACTCCAATCCAAAACTGAGAGGTAGTTTTGTCACACATCGGACAAAGGTATCCTATCTGTGCAACAGTTTCATGCCTTTTAACTCACTATTTTCATGAATATATATATATATATATATATATATATTTCATACGCACAAATCACCTTTATCATGTGGTTGGTGCGCTCAGGGTCATTTGTCCGTTGGTACTCACAAGTGCTTAAAGTTTAACTTTGCCATATTTTTCTTATAGTGGCTAAATAAATCGGATTTCAAAGCTTTTGTTAGCCTTTATACCATTTACAAAAATTCAGTAATATTATTGAGTCGCTTCAAGATAAATTGGGCCGTGACTCAATAGCTCAAACATTTGAATTCGCACCATAGAATTCTGGGTTTAAGCTTGGTAGCATCCGCAAAAGTTAAACATACTATTGTTATGGCCTACATTATGCATAAATGGTAGAATCTTTGACAACTATGCATATGATCTGGGTTCCATTTCCAGCCGACGCATATCTAAATCTCATTTAGCCGGTAAACAGGGAAGGTTCATCGTGAGACTAGCTACCCTTTAAAATAATAACAATACAGAAACCTGTACATGGTGCTTGTGTCACGCTATTATTATTATTATTATTGCAATGATTACGAATTTTATGCCATTAGATAATACACTATTTGTTCTGGCTTCTGATAAGAGTCAAGAGATAAAACTTACCTTATTAAGTTAATTTGTAGTCTTATATGTTTGTTTTTAAATGGAAGCCACTTATTCCCTTATTATTCTTGGCCTATTTTAATTACAATCAGTAACTTATTTCTCAATACTTATGGAGGGATTTAATGCGGTAGTCATTTTTATTTTGTTCGTTGTTTGTTTGTTTGTGTGTAATTATTTAAAGCTGAAAGAAGCCATATTGAATGGGACACATCCAATATCTCAAGATCAAGCTGTGAATTTAGCTGCTTTACAATGTCAAGCAGAATATGGACCTATGATACCGGAAAAGATTAAACGAAATCCTATCGAGTAAGCCAGTTAATTATTGTTATAAACTATATGATGTGTGTTTTTCTTTGTTTATTTTTTTCCTTATATGAATTGTAATTTATTCTTTTCAAGACAATTTACTGATGGGCAGTTTATATGTGGATGCTTATTTCAGAAAGTGTTCAATAATCGGTAAAAACAGTATAAAATGATTGATACTATTCATTGTCGGACTGTTCACAGGGCATGACTTCATCTCTTTATAAAAAATTGTTTTTTTAACTATGAGTACGCATATTTCATACTCGGTTCCTACTGTGTGAGGCTTTAAGAAGCCTTTTTAAAAAAAATTTCGGATCAGATATTTTACTTGTATTCATCTAAGCCCACTTTGAATTATTAATGGAATGGGATTCGTATAAATGTAAAAATACATTTTATTCAATGTTTATTTTTGTAGTTGTAAGACAAATTGTATCAGGCGCTGAACTTTCTACTAATAGATGAGGATTTTTAGGTTTGGAAAGCCAGACTGTGTTTCATAGCCTTCAAAATACGTTTAGCTTTGATTGTATGGTGGGATATTCCTTGCACATTACTTTTAGGTTGAATATATATATATATATATATATATATATAATACCAGATGTTCACGTTGATTGCAGTTTTTTGTCACTTAAAGTTTAATAGATAAGGTTAAGTATAAGTTATATATATGTCCAAGCCAAGTTCACTTTTAACAGTTTTAACAGTCTTCTTAGACGAGCACACTCTTTGATAACGGATGAGAAAGAAAAAGAAGAAGAAATATCAAACATTACTGAGACTCTCGAGCAAAGAACTTCATCAACAAAATAAACACTGATATTAAATGTGGTCGAAAACGTATTCCGAAAACATGGGCCTCAACAGTTGTCATTCCATATAGACCATCAGAGACGTCAGACGATATCAGAAGAGTACTCAGCAAGCTCGACATCAGAGTTTTCTTCAAAACATCAGACACACACTACAAAGCAACCTTGTCCATATAAAAAACCAAATCCCTAAGGATTCTCTCTCTAATTGTGTCCACAAAATAGAATGCTTGGAATGTGATGCGATATACATCGGACAAACATCTCGAGAAATCAAAATCAGAAGAAATGAACACCGTAGAGCATCTGTTCGACCACCGAGAAATCCAGTTGAACTAGAAAAGCTTGAAAAATCATCAGCCATAGGTCTACACGCTATAGAATCAGGTCACAAAATTGATTTTGACAATAATCCAGAAAAATTTCAGAAATCACAAAGAACATCTAATATCAGAAGCACTTCATATCAAATGGAATCCAAATTGTCTGAATAGGAATGATGGACTAAAACAGAATTTGACCTGGTTACAACACCTCCCTCCCCCATGAAATGACAAAATCAACACGAATGTGATAAGCAATTTCATTATGTAAACACACACTGCTTTTACAATTTTACACACTTATCAAATCCAACAATCTACACCTGGTTTTGTTATCTTTACCAATTGGCCGATTTGACAACGGTATAAAGATTATAAAACATTTTCAGCTTGTAAGCACCCTCATTGTCAAGATATGAAAATCAGTAAAGAAACTTATGAATATATACACTGATTGCGTCGGTGGCACAGCGGTAGAATGCTCGCCAACCACGCCTCATGTGGTTTGGGGTTCGATCCCCGGCCGATGCCGCACTCCTTTACCTCGCTAAGCCAGTAATAAGACTGGTAAAGAGGGGAGTTTGGGCATGAGGCTAGCAACCCCATCCCGTAAAAATAAACACCACTGCTACCGAAACTTCAAAGCTCTGGCTTGAAGCCCTGTGCTCCATTGGGAACGTAAAGGAATAAAAAATACATACACTGAAGCCTCAAAGATTAAACCATCAAAATGACAGTTAACCAGAAGAGTACCTTGTAATATATTTCATGTCTACCTTAGGTGTTTTTAATAATTAGTAAGCAATACAAATCAATGGTTACAAATGTAATTCTACTCTAAAATAAGCCGAATCTATTCTATAAAGTTTTATTGCTTCATTGTTTTCCAGTTTAAAAGATCGTTTACCAAAAGAATATATCAAATCAAAGGGTATTGAAAAAAGAATATTAGAGGTAAGTCCTATTTTTTGATTGCTTCTTTTATGCATAAGATACTATTGAGGTGGAACTGATTTGAGAATAGCGACACTTTTAATAACTGTTCCATGGAGAGTTTTAGTGTGATAAACCTCCAGCTGATGTAGGAGATAGCTTTAAAGTCATTGAAGTTGTTTTTTTGTAATATTTGATAAACAATTGGTTTTGTGTATTGGGTTTATGAGAATTTCATTGATTCCGAAGTGGATTTAGTCACGATCGAGATCAGTTACAGAATCATTAAAAACTAGGAAGCACTTTTTCTGGTTTTAGAACTCTTCAGCAGCACGTATCCATGACCTCAACAAGAGGCGAAATAAAGATCTTCAGGCTTACGAGGCAAGCACCTTAACATTTAGCCATTAGGTTCGAATAGAGTAGCACACTGTTTAGGACTACTGTCAATTCTCTGTATTTTAATGACACTGTCATCTTATGTTATCGGCAAGTATCTGTAGACTTCACTGGTCACAACCGTTTTATTAAAACACTAAGAAGTCCATCTCGTAGTCAGACACCAATGACCGGTAGATGAATTTTCCTTTGTTGTGTCTGTAAGGATTCTACGTCAATGCCAGTCCAGGGTTTGATCGTTGGTGTGAACTAGTAAAAAGCCCGAAAATAAGATGAAATAGTTAACTGTTCAGGGTTTCTTGATTTTTAGTGGTTTTCTAACTGATATCTGTTATCTCTTCTAATTTAGTTTTTTACTACCTAATTTCGTAACAATTAAGTTGAGTTAGAAGAGGTTGAAATTCGTAATGATTTCTTTTGTTTAAGCAAAATAATGGCAACTAGCAGTGGAATGGAGGATGCGCATTTCGTCCTATTTGGGACTCGTCACTGAATGTACCTGCAATTCCCAGGTACTGATTTTATTCCCAGTGAACATTGAACCCAGTACTCTTAATTTAAAACGCCAAAGCCTCATCTACTAGGCCACTGAAGCTACGAGAGCCATCTCTTACGCAACGGGTATCGATTTTGTTATTTGTTTAATTCAGCTTTACTGGTTTGATCACAAGTTGAAATCAGTGAGAGAACCTTTTGAAAACCTGGGAGTACTGGACATCTGTTTCGTCTTAGTTTGGGACTCTTCATCATTACGTACCTACCGGGGTTCAAATCCTGCACTTTTCGAGTACAAGACGAGCTCGTAGACCATTCAGCTACTTGAACCCGATCCAATTACCCATGAATTCCAACTTCTGCCAATTCGCGATTTATATAGTGCAACCGCCAGCCGACGTCATAGGCGATTAACTGAACTCATTTGACTTTGCAGAGGTTGAAATTCACGGGTAACTGGATCGGGTCCAAGTAGCTGAATGGTCTACGAGCTCGCCTTGTACCCTGAAGGTGCTGGATTCGAACTTCAGTGGGTGCATAATGATGAAGAGTCCCAAACCAGGACGAAACATATGTCTAGTGACCCCAGGTTTTCGAAAGGTTCTCCAACTTGATATCAACTCATGATCAAATGTGTAAGCAATCAAATCCTTGCAAATCAACATTTTATAATTTAATTTTGTATTTCCCGTTAAATTGATTATATTTGACCTAATTGTGTTGCGTCTCTGTTGTCGCGTCACTATCCACCAAAATAACAACCAGTTAATTCTCAGACATTGTCGAATTGTCCGTAATAGGAGGAATCGACATATGAAATGAAACCGAAAATTTCATTTCATTATAATCAATCACAATAGGCAATACAAAATTAAATTATGCTCTTAACTGTTATTAAGAAAAACAATTCAACAAAATAATTTACTCCAAATTCACCTTATTAATGGGATAATCGTATACACTCACCTTAGAAATTATTGTTATTATTGACATTATTATTCTCATTGCTTGATCAAATGGTGAATGTAGGTTGAACTTTAAAGAAAAAATCATTCTAGATAAATACACCTTTAGCGGATGTAATTCGATGAGTCTCTTTATTTGTTCATCACATTGTAGTTCAATGGTAGAACACTCGTGAACCACGTCTCACGTGGTCCGGGGTTCCATCTACAGCTGATGCACTGCTAAACGTCGCTTCGCCGGTAGTAAGTATGGTGAAGAGGAAAAGTTGGGCGTGAGGCTAGCAATCCCACACCGTAAACACCAAGCACCACTGTTACTGAAACTTCAGGCCTCTAGATTGAAGCCCTTCTACGTTCTGCTTAGAACGCAAGGGAATGTCTGTCTGTTTTCGACATAGAACTTTGCACTGATGTGCGGCAGTTCAAGTTGCCACACTCCATCTAGCACACAATGCAAGAGAAGAAAGTAGGAGAAATGCATAATAGAGACAGTAAACAGAGGTGTGAGACAAAAGAATAGTAATAACGAAGAACAAAACAGTTTCATTGGAAATCATAAGTCACAAGGAGTGGATGCATCTGCGCCACTGAGAACGATTTTGAGCCATATCACCAATTGTTTCCAACCATTGGTTTTTGCCGTCCCGAGGACCCCAACCAGTCAGGAAGTCTACACCTTCCTTCGTGGCCTAGACTAACTGTTGTAGATTTCATTGACTGGTGCCATGTTTTGGTTTGACCACCGCTAGCTCTTTTCCAGCCTGACTCTATATCAGCTAACATTGCCCGTTGTCGAGGAAGGCAATGACTAGGCATACATAACACATGTCCTAACCATCTCAGTCGATGTAATTTCACAGCCTCGTCGATTGATTTCCCCTCCTTACCTAGCAGTCGACGCCTAACCTCAATATTGCTCACCTTATTATACCACTTCACACGGGAGATGGAACGCAGACACCTATGATCGAAGACAGCTGATCTTTTCATGTCTTCCACTCTCAATGGCCAGGTCTCACAGCTAGCCATAAAGGAGGACGGAGCGGACTGATGAGCAGTACACACACCCTTTGGTCGAAAGTCGGATATCACGTCTACGCCAGAGACGGCGTAAACTGGCATATGCGAAACTAGCCCTCTGTATCCGTGCTGAGATTTCGTCAGAAATAAAAACAAAATACTAATTGACTTCATATTCTAGTAGGCAGTTTCATTATTCACTCATTTATCATTTATTGTATAAATGCAAATAGAAACAATGATTAACCGATTAGTCAGATTCTTCTGCTTCTTACTATTATTATTATTATTATATTTCTCCTAGTTGTTGTAGGATAATCAGTTCTATTTTGGTTGAAACAACTGCCTTGAATATTACTTTACACTTTAGCCTTTCTTTTTTATCTTTGTGAACAAGTGAATTATTAGTGCTGATTATTAATAGTTGAAATAGTTAATAATTAACAGTATTAACACAAAATATGGTGATAATTACTATTAATCATATTTCTTCAGGTGTTTATTCCCTCTCCTCCTCTGCCTTTTCCTCTCTCTCTCTCTCTCACCGTCTTGACTTCAGTTGGCTGTTTTTGCCTTACTTTTATTGTGTGTGTATTTTTCTTTAAATACTTAGTCATTATATGCACGTGGTATTTTGAATAGACAATTTCCTATTTAGGAGTAGGAGGTATCAGATGTTTATGCATATGCATACGTGTTATAGTCTCTTCTTGTTTGTCTTCTATTTCACATCTAGATTATTAGCTCTCTAATTACTGTTAATTTCTCTTCAAAAAAAAATGAAAAACCAAACCATAAATAAAGCCTTAACAGTCTTACTACACAATGGATACTTTAACCTTTTCTTATATTCTCTCTGACCACAGATGTTTGCGCCCTGTCTCAAGTGTTTAGGCGGAGTATAATATCGTGTGCAATATTTAAGTTAAGCGTAGTGTGCTAGATAAGGACGGAAAGTCAATCGATGAGGTTATGAAGCTAGGTCGATTGAGATGGCTAGGATACTTGTTGCGCATACCGAGCCACACTACCTTCCTCGACATAGGTTGTTAGGATTAAAAAAGAGTTTAAGGGGGAGAAGTCAAATTAATACCTTGCATCAGTCCATGGAATGTTTGACAGTTAGTTTGAGCCACTTAGGGACGTGTAGACGGCGAAGTTAAACTTTAAGCATCACTAACTACCAATCAGCGAGTGACCTTGAATGGGCCAATGAGTTTCACCCACGTGAGTTGAAGGTTCTATTCCGCTTGATTTGAGTCAAATGCCTGCTCTAACGCAGTTGCGCTTGCAGTTTGGTGAGGATAAGGTTTTCCAGTATTGCTTGGATGTGGGGTTGCTTAGGAAGGAAAGGATTTGTTCATGTGGAGGTGTCATGAGTATAAAAAGCTTCAGCAGGTCGATTGATGGATATGTCCATCGTTGTGCAATTTGTTTGAGACGAGTTAGTGTCAGGGAAGGTAAGCTGATGATTCTAATATTTCGCAGGGACATTTTTTGCTAGGTCCCATCTGTCCTTAAGCCAGATTTTGTGTAGTTGTAATTACTTGGTTTTAAAACAGCCTGTGAGAGACGCAGCTGCTGAAACTGAAAACAGTCTCGTATCAACAGTTCAGTGGTACCAGCACTGCAGGGATATCGCGTCATGGAAAATGGAGAGAATTACTTTGTTATTAGGAGGAGAAGGTGTCATCGTACACCTGGATGAAACTGTCTTATTGAAGAAAAAATACAACCGTGGTCGTGAACGAGCAAACAATGTTTGGGTGATCGGCTTGTATGACACTATTCTATTGATTTTGTGGATCCCAGTACAGGGAGACACACCAATTCTATAGAAGGCTTTTGAGAAGGTTTCAAAAAACAGGATTAGGGCCACTAATGGTTCTCAAAAGTATGTCATTTAGTCTTTTGGTTGAATATGTTTACAGAATGTGGTGTAACTTTTTAATTGATACTCCTATACTAAACTGGGAGATCTTTTTATCATGTCAGAGAATGGTATCCTATGTAACCGTTGTATGCAGTTTTTATGTATTTTTCTTCATAAATAGATGTTTTCCTTAACCAAAAAAGCCCCTTTTCATGTGATTGGCGCGTTCAAGGTCATTCACTGATTGGTAGTTAGTGGCGCTTTATGTT